GGTCGGTGTCGGGGTCGGGGTTGGGGTCGGGGTCGGGTCGGGTCGGGAATATGTTTCGAATTTTTCGTTGAAAAATTCCAACGGAATGCGGTTGAAAATTCCGTTAGAAAATTTCAACGGATATCGGTTGGAAATTCCGTTGGAAAATTCCAACGGATTGCGGTTGGAAATTCCGTTAGAAAATTCCAACAGATGCCGGTTGGAAATCCGTTGAAAATTTCCAACGGAAAAATTCGTTGCAATTCCGTTGAAAATTTCAACGGTTTTCCAACGGACACCGATTTCTAACGACGAAATTCCAACGGATAAATCCGTTGGAAATCCGTTGGAAACGTTAATTTCCAACGGATTTACCCGTTGGAAATGACCATTTTTTTTGTAGTGCTATCATCCGTCGGTTATAGCCGATTCACATACCCATCGTGTGTCACGAATTCGTACGGTGGAGTGGAGTTTATCTAACCAATGCGTTCAAAAAATAACATATAGGATTCACATTATAAAAAAAATTAAGTCAATGATGCACAAAGAATTTGTATTTCTTTTCTTGATGTTTTTTTATTTTTTTATTGCTTAGACCTCAGAGACATAAGTCATGGGCTCCGTGAAAAAAAAAAAACACTATAATAAGAGTCGCTTTAGTCAAATAATTCATAAATATATTACTCTGCAAATCTACAAATCAATCATTCGCGTATTACAAAAATTAGACTCGAAAACCACACATACGAATTCAATCGTGTAATAACATCATTTACTTAATTCAAAATTAAATTGATCTTATATAATATAATATATAATCGAGCACCTCTAAGTAAAAATGACAACTCGGATAAACGAGTTATGATCAAAGTCAATATTCCGGTCATCGCGAGTTAAGTGGGAGTGGCCTTTAAAAGCAGCAACTTTTCCTTTTTCCCTTTTTGTCCATTAAAACGCAATTGTTTTTATTAAAACATCACCACGACTAGACTAATTATTATTTAATTAACCGTGACAATTTCAGCCCACGTGGATGGCAGTAGATATATTGCAGAATCACGCGTTTTATTTTATATACTTCAAGCATCGTCCGTCTTTTTTTTTTTTACTTATATTGTACAAGTGTCTCGATTACCATGTCATCGATATTACAAAAGTTACATCGTGAAAATTTGCATGAGAATGGTCGTGAGACAGATTTTCTAACGGAATGATTTTGTTGGGGGGATAAAAATATAGAAAGTGGAGAAGTAGGGTTTGTTTGGGAGCGAATCGTACGCACGAAGGGGCCACTTTGATCATCGCAATGATTAACAATTCCACCAACACATAAAACAAAAATAAAAATATCAGTTATATTATATATATATATCATAATACTTGCCGTTTATTTTTCCCCATTTGTAACGTATTATCCAATTTGATTATAAATATGGACAAACGGCAGAAGATATCTACTCGTTTTCTTGCTTTTTATTATGGTGAACAAAAATTGGATGTCTAAAGTGTACAAAATCTTAAAACTGTTCGGTTGTTTTAAATATGCCATGTTGGCCTCTT